GAAGTTGGGTTTGGCAAATAAAACGTTTTAAAAACGTTGGTATATACAACAACACTTAACGGTGCTTTACTAGAAAGATCTGTAGGTGAGAGGTAAAAAACCTTAAGTGCCAATAGTATAAACAAATACTAATTTTTACTGCTGAGCGTTTTAAAGAGAATAAGGCTAATCTTATGTAGGCATTTAAAATCAATCTTAAGGTGAAAAATGTTAAATAAAATGTAAACGACTATAGTATACTTAATGTCTACCATTGCGTGATTTTTAACATTACAAAGCAATGTTTGTAAAAACATCTACATCAAAAAATATGTACTTAAGGTCCTTTATGTCTCCCTTACAGATATAATATCGCTCCTTTCCTCATTGACTGCTGTAGGTATAATTTGGTCGTAACTAAGTAAAACGTACATAAGCCTTCAAAAGTGAACACTCTCTACTATTCGTTTTATACGTCGATCTTGTTTCCATAAGTATAAAGGCCTATCTACATATATGTATTATAAGGACCGACATGTAACGGTGAGTGCCGTTAGCGTCAGAGTAAAATGATATTGTTACATATATTTTGTACAAAGCATCCATACTTGTCAGTGTCAGTAACGTTTAGTGACATCAGTATTGCTCAGACTCTACAGTGATCCGATTTCTTACTGAGAATAATTTCACTGACGGCACGGAAGTCGCATATGACTGCGGACTGGTAACTCCACACAAACGCAGCAGCGCGGCTTGTATGTGTGCACGCCCGCTACACGCCGTGTACGGGCACACATTTGCATAATCTTACGGTGCGCTCGCGTTACAGAGCCCGGGTCGTCACACGCGAAATTAATTTATAGAATTGAAGCGGTCACTCGGTGTTTAAAACATGACTTCTAATAGTAGACGTGTTCGTGGTAGTTTGAATAAGAATGCCTCAAATTCAGAATTATTCAGCATTTAATTTCTATTAAATCATACTCTATAATCAAGATACCAATCCGCGAACCTGGTATAAAAATATTAAATATGTAAGTACCTAGGTATTGCATTTAGCAAAGATTATTTCAATATACTTAGCATGAAAATACAGTGACGAACACCTAAATTAAAAAAAATAATTATATTTACTAACTGTTGGTAGAACGTAAATAATAATGCCCCTATAATAACCCCTAACCTTTTTATTTTATTATATATATTAAATAATAACCCCTACGATCCGAGAGAAGTTTTTTTACGCACCGAACAGACGAAAGTTGCCTCCTTGATCTTAACTATACTACAAGTGTGTAGGTAAATTAACTAGTAATCACGGCATATCAGCATTGAAGAGTGCGAATAACAAGTATTAATAGTTTTTATTATATTATTATGTATGTTAGTCTATAAAGTATGTGTCTTAAGGGTCTTTTGTAACCTGAAAATAAATAAATAAAATAAATTAACAAGTTATGGCACTGAACGGTACGGCACTAATCGTCAGGTGTTGACACTGGTTTTCGCAGATAGGCCTTAACTCATTGATAAAACGACTTTGACACTAGCTACAACTCAAGTACTAAACCGAAAACACGTTGCTCTGACAAATTGACCTAATATTACTTACGATAGTTAGGACAAGGACGATAAGTTTTATTCTAAAGCAGAATGGAACGTAAGTGAACACAAACTTTTGAATAAACTTCGAGTGCAGAAAAAGCTTATGTTGCAGGTAATCTATATTACGCTTGTTGCATCTAAATCATAATTACCACAAACAAACCACAATCGTGACGATTAGAAACTTAGTTCATTTTAGCTTTTTGACAAAATAAGCCTTTGTTTTGAAGTCAATCTGTAATTTTATGTTGTAGTGCCGGAAACTTGTTTGTTCATGGTAGAATAGAAAAAGATACAACAGAAACGTTTGAAAGCGTCAAAAAATGAGCACCGAATTGTAAATGATATCACCTACTTACAAAAGTAGGAATTAATCTAAATAGTGATTGCACATCAAGATATAAATATTATAAAATTTTCTTCTAGATACTACTTTTCGACGAAATAAAGTACTTATATAATATAAAATTTAACAAATATAATTCAAATATATATGTAAAGGCAGCATAGAATATATATCATTTGAGATAACAGATAGCGTAATTTAGGTAGGTATCTTATAAAGCGAATGATATGTTATTTTTATCTTACATTAGATTAAATAGCGAATTAAAGTAGTATCACTTTATCTACCCAATAATTCAGGAAATGGTCGTAGGTACTGTTAACGTTTAGTAAACTTTAGAATAACGTGAAAACGTAGAAGTTATACATTTATAGTACAGAGGTCATTCGAAAAATCAACATTCGAACAGAATTTCTGTACTTAAAACTTTCGTAGGTATAATATTAAATACGTTTTACACATTATTTATTTGCTTTAAAAAAATAGTTGACAATTTGGTTTTTAACACGAGCAGATTTGTAAAAGGAATCTAAAATTGTAATTGTGTAGGTACTTGGCATACCTGCCGTTCGACAGGCAGGTGGTACCTTTTAGGACTTATAGATAATTTGAATTCAAAGCACAGCCAAACACTTTTTCTTCATAAAGTTTCGTTACACTTTTTCCTATAGATTTTAATTAAAATTTCTTATCCAAAACAGTTGACTCATTGGTCCGCGCTTTAAGAAGCAGAAGGCATACATAAGTGATATAATTAACGCTTGTGCATTTAAGCATGCAAGTAGGGTATTTCTTCCGACTTGGCGATTTACGAGTTCTGATGATAAATCATTTACCAACTTGTGATTTTACAAGATGACATTGACATTCGTACAATAAAATTAAAAGTTAAAATTTTTCTTACAGCAGATTCACCATAATATGTAAATAGATAAGTTATTGCTTTGAACTTGCATCTACGCAATAATATACTAATAACAGAAAATCAACTTCATTGCAACGTAATATATACTAAATTGTATGTACATACGGACTCACAGCACATACTTCACGACAAACTACAAAAAATAACACTTAACATACTTACGTATTGATAGGTGTAATTGAATGTTGACTTTTTGTTTATACAATTTATACAGCCAGTATGTATTACAAGTATTCGCAGTATTTATTACAGGCAAAAATTATATCCGATCGGTAGAAGGCATTTTCATGGCTTAAATGTGTAAAACACAATAATGATAATATTATTAATATGTATAAATTAATCGTTATGGCCAATTATTAACAAATAAATATGTTTTTTCACGTGAGACTTAGAGCGGTTACATGCGGCGACTTTTAGCAGCTATGCAAACGCGATGCAGTCGCTTATCGTCTACCTTTAGACACGCGCCCGATTCTAAGCAGCGATGCAAACGCGATATAGAAGCGATGCAGTCGCTTATCGTTTACCTTTAGACACGCGCGCGAATTTTAGCAGCGATGCAAACGTGATGCAGTAGCGCCGCAGTCGCTAATCGTCTACCTTTACACACGCGCGTGATTTAAGCAGCGATGCAAACGCGATGTAGAAGCGATGCAGTCGCTTATCGTCTACCTTTAGACACGCGCGCGACTTTTAGCAGCGATGCAAACGTGATGCAGTAGCGCTGCAGTCGCTTGTCGTCTACCTTTACACACGCGCGTGACTTTAAGCAGCGATGCAAACGCCATGCTGTAGTGAGGCAGTAGCTTATCGTCTACCTTTAGACATGCGCGCGACTTTAAGCAGGGATGCAAGCGCGATGTAGAAGCGACGCAGTCGCTTATCGTCTACCTTTAGACACGCGCGCGACTTTTAGCAGCGATGCAAACGTGATGCAGTAGCGCTGCAGTCGCTTATCGAGTACCTTTACACACGCGCCCGACTCTAAGCAGCGATGCAAACGCGATAAAGGAAACGATGCAGTCGCTTATCGTCTACCTTTAGACACGCGCGTGACTTTAAGCAGCGATGCAAATGCCATGCTGTAGTGTGGCAGTAGTTTATCGTCTACCTTTAGACATGCGCGCCACTTTTAGTAGCGATGCATACGCGATGTAGTAGCGATGCGGTCGCTAATTGTCTACCTTTAGACACGCGCGCGACTTTACTTTTTTATGTAAACGTGATACAAACGCGATGGGCGCTTTATATTAATTAACTAATGTATTTATTAATGTCACTTTCAAATTTACAATTAACAAAACAAAATATTTTGCATAAACCTTACAGATTTTTCGTACATAATTATTTAACATTATCGCGACGATATCGATGCGATCGCGCGTTTGTAGTCGCGTTAAATCGCCTATAAATCGCAAGTGTAGAGATGCAATCGCGCGTTTCACGAACGCACGTTTGCATCACTGCTTAAAGTCGCCGTATATAACCACTCTTAAGTATTATAAACGATCTATATTAAGTACAACGCTATACAACACAACGCGAAATAACTACATTGTTTCATAAACCTTTAGCAACTGCAAACGTATTTTATAAATAATTTTAGTCTCACGCAAATTAGCCTTTATAATTTAGACATTAACGATTTGAGCTTCACATAGACTATCTACTCATAACAAAGTATATTTGTAACGTAAAATACTAACCAATATAACTGTTCTTATCTTATTGCAAGTCAATAATTATGAATAATGTAATGATTATGATATATCACAACTTATTTGGGTTGTATGTCGATAAAGTAATGACTATGGTGATTTTTTAAAATATACAATATATGTCTTTTACTATCTTACTATAAGCAGTAAAATATTCAGCTGGACTGTCTCTAGGTTTGAAATAGATTTCTACATCCCAAGGATGATGGAGACATTCAATTCGCCGATAGGTTGTTACCCATTCAAAAGTTACTCATAAGAACCCGACTAGCGACACAGATACAAGAAATTTCATATATTACATTATTGATCCCTCTTTAGCCTATCTTAAATTTTCTTTATACACAAGAAAGTAAATCTTACCTCGTATATTATAAACATCGACCTATGAACATTTTTCTGATGAAAACTATTTCAAAACCAGTAGAAAAGTTGCATTCATCTCTACCTGAATGTAGTCGTTAATGCCATTAACAATAGAAAGCTGCAACGATAGTCTTCAGCTTAATTTTATCTTTCTTATTATTTAGGTTTTACGTTAAATATGATCACTATGATGGATATAATCACAATTCGTAATGAAAGTTAACTTTCATCAAAATTATCAGCATAGTATGATGTTGCACTTAGTTGTGACGGTATAAGTAAAAATATAAGATGTAAAAAGACACAATAGTCTGTCCACATGAAGTGGCCCGCGGCAGGGAGAGGCAGCAGGAGCAGCAAAGACAGCATTAAGAGAAGGCCTTGTAGTGAATGAAGAAGAAGATAAGAAACACAGCGTAGGCAGTGGGGAAGGTGATCCGTGCGATCACGTCGATGGTCTTCGCCACTCGGATCGGGTGCGGTGGTTCTTTTTTGCGAACCTGGACGAAACATGGCTGAAAGAAATTATTTTGCAAATCAAAGATGGAAATAGCCTATTAAAAATTATGCCGGTGAACTAGTGGGAAGGCCTGTGGCAGTTTGCGTCGACAGAAAGTGAATTAATTTGTATAATCTATTAATAAAATTATTTTGACATGATGGCTAATTTTCACTTTGTTGTTAGTGCGACTAAGATTTAAAAGCTTTAAATGCTAAGTGAGGATAACCGGAACAAATCGCATAGTCTAAGAAATATATATATTTAATCCATCCTTAGCGCTACATTTTGTCAGCGACATGTTTGGTGTGACGGATGAAATGAGGATCATAATGACGCCAAATTTAGATGCAAATAGGTGAGAAGTGATATATAGCTATAGTTACCTCAGTGACTCCACCGTTATTGGTGGTATGACTACAGGAACCTGGTGGGCCTGTACACGTTGCACACGTGACTAAGTCTGCGGCACCGGTCGAGTCCCGCTTTTTATCACCCTGAAAATATGAAAACTATGACTGAATTGCGTATTTACATAATGAGTGAACGAATGTAAATTATGAGAACGTGCAATTGAAATCTGGATTATATATGAACAGCAAACGGTATAGAATGAAAAAGACAAAATTGACAAATATGTATCGGAGAGATATGTGTCTGTTGGCTTTTACTTTTATGATTTTAACATTAGCAACAACAAAGGAAGGATTGTTGGAAGAAATATAACTAAAAAGGTAAATGAAGCATACTTACAGGCTGGAGCAATCCAAAGCAGCATACAAACAAGAGAATGCGTTAGTTGGGTCGTGATATCGATCGGGTCAAAGATGATGATGTGGGGCAAATGGGGCGTCAGATTGTGACGTCACTTACAGCACCACTAGTTGCCGGCTGAGGCGCGTCTGACGTTGCCCAATTGAGGAATGCCATCGCCTCCTACGTAAATGCAGATTTTAGCTGAAGCATGTTTGGTTTTCGTAAAAATGTGTTCCGCAGAAGCTGCGTTTTCAATATTTATTGAAGCATCGTTAAAAATAATTAGTTAAATCGTAAAATGTTTTATTATAAAATAGAACTTGTACGTATTGTGTTACAGCTTTGTTTGCTTAAGCTTTGCAAAGGCTTGTAGATCACTTTTAAGTTTCCATTTAATGATCTTTTGCGCTTTTTAGAATTTATTTGGAGGATACAAAAAATAAATCGATATTAGTATACATGCAGAAAATAGCATTATCATTTAAAAAAAAAACGTTGAATGATTGCGAAGCGCGTGGTAACAATCCTGTAGTTTGTCTTCTTCAATAAAGCTAATTATTATAAATTGTGTAAAAATTAATAATACGAAAAAATATATATAACCTGTAAAAAACTAGATAAGGCATTCCGTACAAACAAGGTAATTTAAAAATCTACAGAATGTTGAAGGTCTACGACATGCGTTTTTGATCGTGTCCGTTACGTAAGGGTGAGTTCACGTTAAATGTTATATTTCTTTTACGTGGATTATTTGAGTTGATGCCTTAGAAATCATGATCTTTAGAAATCACAATCATGAATCACGTGTGTAGGTATCTGAGTTCTCGTTTAACATATGAGTAGTTGTATTCAGTGAAAATCCATAGCATAGTAACCCATTAAGTCTATTAATGTGGATGCTTAATAGCTTGTACACATGATTCAGGTCGACGTTTATATCCTAATCATCCCAACTGTTATAGGCAAGGATAATAGCGAGTCGTAAAAGGGTAGTAAAAGAAATATAACAGTATAACGTCCTGGAAATGCCAATGAACGTGGCGAATGTCTTACCAAGGGGCTGGCCAGTATAATGCCAATTCTGCTCAGGACAGCAGGCAGTCGCTGCGAACACATCACACACAGTTTGTTCACATGTGACTGATGGTCGGAAAATGTGCTAACGTGAACATAGACTAAATTGTAGTGGCCAAATCAGAAAACAATACTATGCCTTAGATGGATACACACCAGAGTCTTATAACAATTTTAAATCTTTGCAATGTTTTCTGAATTAAATGATTTTAAATTTGTTCAAATACGTAATAAAAGTGGTGATTAAATACGTATATAATAACATCAATGAAAAGCAAAATGATTACTTTTACGTGTAGCACGCGTAATCCAAGGTCTGTGACTTTTACTATTTTGTAGAAACATTTAAAACCATGGCCACACAAAATTGTCTTTGAATGAGATCAACCAAACTTTTTGCAAATAAAAGAGTGTGATGAATTCTGTCCAACCCAATTAGGTAATAATATCGAAATACTTGAGCCAATAGATAATCATGCAATAAAATTTGAAAACGTGAAGCATGCTATAGAAAAGAACATTAACAACATGACATTCATTGCTTTGACATAGATTCAATGTGAAGCATAATGTCTTGCTGTTTTAATATTCTATGAAAACATTGCAAAGAGAAAAGAGAATTGAAAAAAAAAAGAATTCACGAAGGAACCTCTGCGTTTTAATTAGAAATTTGTTCTCCTACAAAGTGTACGCAGTAAAAGGGTTATAATAAAAGCCCGCTTAGTTTCAGGGGCCGATAAATTGAACTCTCTTTCAATTGTTATTCCTTCGTAAATTTAATTTCAAACTTTTGTGAAATAACGGTCGTATTAGATCGACAAAATTTAAGTGCTTAATACAAAAATTAGTTTAATTGGATGAGTGTATTTACATATAGAAAAATTTTATTTTAGTGTAAACATTGCAATTAGGAATTTCATACGTCGTGTCGTTTCTTACATGATTTGATAAATAAATGTTATAAATTTAAACGAATAAATTTGTGTTATTGTGGGGTCTTTACAGGTTTACTTCGAGCGGGTGCTACCGCTATAAAGGTGGCGATTGACCGATCTTATCGTAACGTAAAATTCGCGGCGAGCATGTCACGTTACGGCATTAGCCGCCTGACCGGTATCATTGCTCGTTTCGAATTATGCCTTCGGCCGTACTCCGCATTCACAGTCGAAATGTTACTTGGTATTATAATAATCTCAGTACAGAGTCCGACCGACAAAACCGACCTCAAAAGTCATTCGTCCCCTAGTTTGCTACCCTTAGAGGTGGAACATTTTCTTCAAATTTAAAAGGGACCACTTCAGTCTCTTTCCAACAAAAAAAATAATCATCAAAATCGGTTCACAAATATAGCATAACATTCATACAAAAAAAAAAACATAACTACACTCGAATCGCTTTCAAGAACAGGGGGCCTACCACAACCTCTTAAAACAATGTTACTTTATTTAACCTTACATTGACTTTTCGTACTATGACGCGCTTAAAGTATAATGTTAACATTATGAAAAAATTTTCAAGACGGCGGACTCAAAATGGCGGCCCGAAATAAAAGTGCTCCGATCCTACTGAAATTTGACATCCGGTCCTGTATGGAGGCTCATAGTATGTATCTGCGAACGAAATTTGGATTCCGCCATTTTCCAAGATGGCTATACCATACAAGTGAATTTTCGGTTTTTTGACCAGCATTTTCTCCCAGAAGAAGAGCGGGTGTATAAAGAGTGATGTATGGGAATAATGGTTGGGTGGATTTGGTGAGTAGCAGAAAGTACCAAAACCATCGAAAAGTGCTCTGCATCAGGTAGGACCCCAGCTGCGTACCCCAGTATACGTCTTACCGACGTCTGACCGAGGTCTCTAAACAAATGTTAATCCATACCCTAGGCAGTTTTTACAAGCGGTGAAAAATATTCGAAATTCGAAAAACAAAATGGCACTCAAAGTCAAACAAAGAGAATACTCTACTGAAATGTGAAGTTCAACTCCCAATTTATCACCAGATACAAAGAAAGCCCTCGCGGGCCCGGCGCAACGCGCGCCATCTAGTTATATATATAAAGCTACAAGTTCTTACTCACTGATAGAAATAGAACACATACTTCCCGATATGGTGGAAAAAAAAAAATTTATACTGTTGTACGCGGATAGGCTACAAGGCAAAGAATCAAATATGAGAAGACCTGAATGTGGAAAATGTAAACGAGTGATGAACGGCCTGCAAAAACTATAATACATGGGGGGGGGGATTTTTGTGCATTTTTATGAGATACAACCTGGTCAATTTCCGCGGGAAGTAAAAAAATGTTCGAAATTCAAATAAACAAGATGGCCGCCATACAAATTTCAAAGCCTCCTATCACGGAAACTATTAGAGATAGGTAGGAGGTGCTCGAAGGAATGTAATAGAGGGTAACACCGGTCAACTGCCTGGGTTAAAAAAAAATTCAAAATGGCGATTTCAAAATTGCGGCCGAAGAAAAACTTGTTTCGATCCGGCTGAAAATTGGCATGCGAGGGTCTTTAGGAGTCCTTAATTATAATTTGGGGTAAAAAATTTCTTTTCACCATTTTTTAATATGGCTGCCATATAAGTGTTTTTTTCGTTAAAAATAGCTGCCGAAAGAGACTCGCTCTTTTTCAGCTGAAAATTGGCATGTGCAAGCCTCTAGAAGTGCCAAATAATAATTCGTGCTTGAAATTGGGTTTTCGCCATTTTCAAATATGGCCGCCATACAAGCGTTTGTAAGCAGTAGAAAAGAAATCGTTCTGATCCCTTCCAAAATAGTCAATTGGGACTCTCTAGGAGTGCTTGATAATAATTTGTGATCAACATTAATTTATCGCCGTTTTTCAATATGGCTGCCATAGAAGTATTTTTTTAGCAGTAGATGAAAATTTGCTCTAATTCCTTTGAAAATCAGCATGTCGGCTCTATGGGTGTTTAATAATAACTTCCGGTCAAAATTTATTTTTCGCCATGTGTCAATATGGCTGCCTTACAAACTTTTTTTAGCGGTTGATAAAATTTTGCTCTAATTCTACTGAAAATCCCCATGAAGGGTACTCTATGGGTGTTTAATAGTAATTTGCAGTCAAAATTTACTTTTTGCTATTTATCAATATAGCCGCCATTAAAGAGCTACGTTAATTTTTTAAAATAAGTGCCGAGGCCGTAGGTCGAGGTCTAGCGGAGGGCGAAGCCCGAAGCGTCTGCACGCCACCTTACGAAGGTAATATGTGGGAACTAGATTTCACAACATATTCAGGCATACTTCCCGATGTAGTGGAAATAATATTTTATTTACTTATACAACTTATAGCGTTGTTGTATCTCGACCGTCTCTCTGTTAGATTCTTTTTTATTGGAAGCTATGCCAAAAAGGGAAGTATTTAGGGAAAAAACGCCAGACAATCACTTCAAATTTCTACTATACAATTAGGAAATTTCCTCTACTATGAGTACCAGAGTAACGATAATTCTGAGGGCAATACCCAGAATACCCTAATCAGGACCAACTTAAAAGGTTTTTTACATAAATTGGCTCAAATAAGGGACCGAATCTGGAACCTCATCATCAAGCGCCCATAGTACTAATTACTGTGCCACTGAAGAGCATAAGCAAACCCCGTAACCTGGAAGCGACCACGCGCCGCAGGCCGAGCCCGACCCCACCGTAGGTGGGGTATAGGGCTCGTATTATAATAAGCTTACTTTAAACTTACATTGAAATAAGATTGTTTTTGGAAATGTTATGGTAGACCCCCAGGAGGTTTTTTTAACCGAACTGAGAACAAGGTTTTAAAAAATGGGTTAGTCAAAAAACCCACAACCGGGTAGAGCTCGCGGCGATCGGCTCAGCTCGCTGAACTGACTATGCCAATGCTCACATCGGAATGTGTTACATTACGCTGAAATTATTCGGTCAGTCTCCGTCTTAAGAGGCACTATCAGAGATATAAGAGGCACGACATCGAACACACTTATATAGTTACACAAACGGAAAGCTGTACGGATATATTTTCATAATACTAGATGTGATATATACCTGAGTGACTGGATTTTCCCCCGGCCTGTAAACGACGTTGTGGAGTGGTCTCTTTCGTCCCACGTAGTTGACACACACGAATTCCAGTAGTGAAGCGTAGATGAAACACATACACACGCCGTCCCAAACGTTCATTGCAGTCAAATTTGACACCACTGGCAGTGTCGATCGAAACCCGTTGGAAGTTGTGAAAAAATTCAACATCGTTGTCACTCCTGTACCGGAAATAAATTTAATTAGTGCTCACATAAAGGATTAAATTAAAAACAAACTGACAGGATATTAATGTTGAAAATTGGAATAGCAGATTAGTGACTGATTTAAAATTAAATGAAGCTAAAGCTTTAGTAACATGTTCATGCAATATTTTACATTGCAATCATTATGATTATACCTCATAACATACCAGTATATATTTTGCTATAGGTATTCGTCATAAATAGTAACAAACATGCATCTAGGAAAGAAGTACCTAGTTGAGCGTAAATAAATAATAAAAGCAAAATACTTCCCATAATGTAAATGATTTTGTGATTTACTGGTTTCTGGTTATCTAACCGAATTGGGCGGTGATAGAGTAAAATATATAACACTACCTCATCAATATCGGCTTATCTTTAAGGGAAAAACCGTATGTGTCAAATGAAAATAAATTAAACCAACCTATCATAACTCTAGCAGGCACAGCATTCCATTCCAGCCAAAAAGTAATAAACGATGACGTCACCAAAATGATGCCCGGAATAAAAACTGTGGTGAAGTAAAATGATCTATCCCGAGTGAAGATGAGATCCACTTTGAGGCAGCTGTAATTACCTAGAAATTTTAAGCATAAAATAATACATTGAAATGAACTAGGCGCTCGTGAAGTGAGTCGCTGGCAACTTTTTTGGAGTCCTGTTGCGCGAACGGAGCATGAATGTGATGTTACAATGACCATTATGTTCTTTAAGATGGCTATGGTCATACTTTTAATAATAAATTGTCGCAACGGGACCCAATAATTTAATCTTATGTACAATCAAGGGGAAAAATATGTATTTACTAAAAGTACCTACAATAAAATATTATACCACGTTACCAAATAAGCTTAGTAAATGGTCGCAACAGAAATGGTACTGTCGACATAACAATTTATGCAGGGTCCAATATAGGGAACATTTATAGGCGTAAACACAATATGCTTGCAGATACCTACGTTAGAATTTACAACATGTAGTTTTTTCGGTCAGCGATATCGAAATCTTTTACCGGTACTTTGTAAATTCTACCTTATACGCAGGCATATTATGTACAATTCTGCGTGAGTTGAAACGCCTATACTTAATTGTGATACCTTTCGGTCCCGTATTTATGACAAGTATTATGTACAGCTATTAAAGAAATGCAAGTATTTAGATACATATTTTTGATATAAATCCTCATAGGTATACATATATTTATTTGCGCTTGATTGTACATTTGCCAACGACGAAGCGTATATAACCTGCGAAGAAAAGAGACAGCGTGTTATTTGACAGCCCCAGCTACATTAAATAAGAGAGAAGAGATGCAATATGCAATGCAAGACCGTGAGCATATCTGGCGGCCAGCCGTTTTACCTATCATGGAACGGGCTGGCACCGCGTTCCATTCCAGCCAGAACGTGATGAAGGAAGATGTCACCAAAATTATTCCAGGGATAAAAACTGTCGTAAAGTAGAACGCTCGGTCTCTTGTAAATATTAGGTCGACTTTTAAACAGCTGTAGTTACCTGCGGAGTTAACATCATTACGTTGTAATTGAACAACGCACACATTTCTTTGAAACAAGCTCAAATTGTTGCATTTTGTTCAAAAGTGGGGGAAAGATCATGGATACCGGGTTTTGGTACTGGCGTATAAAATATTCCAAGTAACTCTATTCAGTGGCCTTGTAAAACTTTATACATTTTAAATAACAATAGCAAAAACATAATTTAATTACTAACTACTGCTATCGTATAGTATAATGCACGAGTAACGCGTGTTGTGTCCACATAAGTGAATGATAAACATCTCGTGTATGGCAACTTGTATACAGCAAAAAATTTTATAAGTAGAATAGAACTAGTGCAGTCACATCTACGGTATTTCTACGACGACGTGCATGGAAATGATCGATGACTATGGAAACGAGATCGGAAAAACAGTTGATCTATGGAATAGATTGCGGAAAACGTGTTTTGAAGTATTTTTCGACGATTTTAACACATTGAAGTAAACACAACAACGCACTTACTCACACACAAGCGGAAAATATATTGTAAATACGACGGGACTGGACTGTTGCGTCGTCCGTCGCATCTCAAGTACCTTGCTCCTCAAAGCGTCTCTGGCAAAGATTACATGTCAGCTCTTCGTCTTCCTCGTAAAGTGAATTACCCTCAGCTGCTTGCAAAGATGTTAACATATTCTTACATTCTAAAGTTTCATCAATTCTATCGTCTAATGTCTAAGAATTACAAACGTCATTCTATTCATTTGACATTTAACTTTGGTTAATCTCACTAAGTCTAAACTACCAGGGCATGAAATACTAATGAACATGCTTCACCGCTAGCAATGCAATTCACAGAAATTGCTATAACTATTGTTGCTAGAAACAGACACAACAAGCTTCTACTGAATATTGTTCATTAAATAAATAAAACCTTTAAGTAAATCAAGACCAAGCTGAAAAGAGTTAATCAGAATCTTATTCGATTACATAATATATCACTGATCCGGTCTTGTGCAAAGTATAAGGGTGTGCTTGTAACAAAAGAGAAGGATATTTGGAGGCTAATCTACATAAAAGATTATCATGTTGGGTTGTAGATTATTGTAGTTACAATAATAAGCGACCATGAGCGCTGGCAGGTATTATGTAAATGAAATAATTTTCTACAGAAATGTCTAACGATTAATCGAGTCAATTTATGAAAAAGTTTGACACATGTTTGTTGTTTCTTTATTACAATGTTATGAATACCTCTAAGGATAACGTACGTATCACGGTACGTATTGACTGTTGTACTCGTATTTTTTTGCGAAGCAGGCAGACAGAGGGCGTTTATTTACCCTCGCTTGCACCTGCTAGCACCCACGCAAGCGATGTCGTGGTGTTCGGTTGATATAAGAACGGCGTTGTCTATTACCTCTCCAACTGGCCTTTATGGGACACGGAATAGTTTGGTTCTGGATCAGATAGGCGTTGAGGGTGGTCAGCGATGGTGACTTCCGTAGAGTGTCTTCATCGTTTTTCCACACGTATGTTATAGCTGACGACTCGTACGAAACTATAAGGACGTAAAGGCAGTTAGCTTGCAGATTGATTCGACACAATTGTTCCAAGGCAATGAAAGTTGTGTCTAATGTAACTCCATAAACACGCCATAATTTATTTAAAGCAGACACTTTTAAAATTAGAGTGTGTAAGATACTTACTACTTTCTAAGGCAAATGAACACAATGGGTCATCAAAAGGAAAGATGTTGAGCCGTCCTTGACAGGATAATATAAGATGTCTCCGCATCAGGTAGTTGATGGTACCATTGCGGAAAATACGCAATGCAAAGTGCATTGGTATTATCGGATCCTGCAATAAACATCAGGTGCAATCGTATTCAAATTCTCCACACACGTGCCAAGGCGAAGTGATTAATGAACAAAACTATAAGCTCACTTTCAGAAATTAACGTAGTGAAGATAAAAGTTTTATAAGCCTTTCGAAATATGATAGAGGATATGGTACGTTTCGACGTAAAGTTTTAAAGAAACCGAATAAGCCGATTGATCTAAAACAATATGTATATACAACTTAGGAGCCAGTGGAGTTTAAAAGCATTACTGGTGTGTCATAAATACCCGTGAATGTTCTGAAAACTCCTTTAGTAGAAAGCATAATGAAACAGTTAAAATTTATCAAACACGAGATTTTATTATTAAAGATATGCAGAATGTATAAGTCAGCTGACCTTAAAATCACCGTGCATTATGAAATAAGTATCTGGTAGCCAGATGTCCTCGTGGTGATGGATGGCATTCAGGTAGTCGTATTGGGACAAATTGGAGTACCGCAGCCGTGGATCGTACCATTGCTGTTGTAGTAGAAATTCAACCTCGTATTTCTGAAATTGATGGTACAGTGGAATTACTACTTTTTTAATTATTTTGAAAGGATGGGAACTGAAACTAAAGGACAAAAACTTACAAGACTAGATTCGTCTGGAGATGCTAAACTAAGTAGTAGCACGCTAACATTTACGGTGAGAACACCTGTAAATAAGAGAGAACTTTATTAAATAGTGGGTCACTACTTTTGTACAAGGACACATACCTACAATCACATGCTTATTATATAGCATAAGTTGTGCCAATTCCCGTTTTTAAGACGGAACACATCTTCTATAACATACATTTGGAAATCTACGAGAGATGCTTTAGGATCTTTTCAGTAGTAAAACCTAAAGCACTTTCCGCGTTTATTAAATAATCAACGATACACACCAATAGAAGAGGAAAATAAAACAGACAAACAATACAGAAACTTGCAGTTTTGAAAATACCAGAAAGATTACATTAACATGCACAAAGTAAATAAATGTTTTAGAGTTCATTTGTTTTCATTAAATACCTAGACCTAGACTTACATTTTGATTTTTAGTTCATATAACGTATTTGTCTTTGCATAATATACTGAAACTTCTTTACAGTAACAAGAATTGAAATATATGGAAACAGAATTGCAATACTTTGCAACTATAAATTTTAATCAAAATTAATAAGAGCAGATCTGAAATTTACGTAAAAACTATGACATGAGTTTTTTGTTAATGAACTGTAAGGGGCCAATTGTATTAAATGTTTGTGAAAAGAGAAAATCATCGAAGGATATAAAGCTAGTGAACAGATAGGTATAAAGTAAAATGACATTTAAATGTAATAAATATACTTATTAATAAAATTATGCCAATTTCGAAAAGTCAGCAAGAACTCTTTGAGCAATAAATATTTATTTGTAGAATGTGTGAATTGTTCTACAGCTACACACAGAAATGGGGTGCGCACACAGAATACAATTTTGAATAACGTAGTGTGTGATGATTAGAAAAATAAAATAAAAAGCAAAGTATAAAGGTATGTATCTACAATTGCGTGAAATACGGGGTAAATTACGTAAGTGATCACTTGTCACGTGCAGAGGTGGTTGCTGTAGAACAAACAAGACGGTCCATACAGAACTAAACACGTGGACAGGATTTCTCTTTTCATAAACATAGAACACAACGCACCACGATTGTGCGCCCGGGGTCGAAGCGACGGGAGCCCCGCCGGACTAGCCACAGTGTCGTTGGGAGTCTTAAGCCCACAACAGAAATCTGGATCTGCAATATTATACCAATACTTGTATGACCTATTCAGCCTACTTTAAAATGATTCATGAGTTATGTTGATCGATAATAAATTCACTTACCCTCTACTGGCGGACGCAGTCTTTTGTCATAGCGGGAGTTTTTCAAGAGATTGTCCAATATCTCTTTGTCCGACTTTCCTGATGCAAAACTGAAACAAATATAAATTTAGTTATCAAAAATCCCTTACTTAAAACCATTTGGGTACATATACTTTTACATTGGAAGCACGGCTAACAAGATGCGAGTCCCAATTTACACAGTAGCATTTCTTTATTTGTACAAAATAACGATCAATTATAACAAAAAACTCAGGCGTTATTAGATAATACATCAATGTCGCATATCGTGGCAAATTAGTTGTGTGTCGACGTCGAGTGTTAGACGCAGTATTGATTTTAGATTAGAGCTCTTTAGTTTGCTTCTATTGCCCTAGAAAAAGATTATGCTGAAAAAAATATGGCTACGAAACGAGTGCAATAATGTTTTTTTTTAAGAAACTAAATTGTGTAATATTTACATGTGTAGTCTTCAGAACACTTTTTTTTTTGTCTTACGTTTATCCGCAATTTTACCTAATAGCAACGCAAGTTGTGGATGAGGATTGTACCTGAGCCCTCGATCGGAAGATACCTGTTCACTCAAATCTTAAGATATCTAAGTTGTGTCATTTAAGAAATATAGGACAGTACAGATCACGGTAAAATATTCCATTCTTCGATTGCACCACTGTGGACGTAGAACGTAGTATTTAAATTCAAAGAATATTTGACTTTTTCGTACAAATAACAGAATAGCGAAAGTACTCAAGAATTGTTAAAAAATAAACACTTTCGAAGATGGCCTGAATTTAAGGTTACACAGTATCTTTCTATTGTTCATAAAGATATCACTAAATAGATAATGAAATTTCTACTGAAAATGTTTTATTAAATATAAAGAAATCGCATTCGGTAAGCTACAAGACATCCTGAAATCGTTTGATACTCCACAGTGTTCGAAGAACCGCTTATTCATCCAGTGTGTACTGCGGTGCCCAGACGTGAACGCTCACAAAGAAGGCTGTGTACAGAATGAGAGTTGAACAAATAGTAGTGGAGCTAGTTATGCTCAACTTCAAACTTATAGACTGTGTTCCGAATTCCGAAATCTGTGGACGAACTAAGGATACAGGAGAAAACAAAAAAATAGAGTTGGGAAGGAAATATTGCGGGGCGTGGTGAAGACTGATGGAGTGAAGCGATACCGAATGGTGGCCAAGAAATTTTATTGGGTATGTGGGGTTCCCCGTAGTGAGAGGGATGGCCGACATCGTCAAAGTCGCAGGTACAAGCAGTGGGTGAAGTTGGGCTGTGGATGATGAAGGAAATGAGAAATCATCCTATAATATATTAAATAGGTAACTACGGGTATTTTCTCACAACCAAGTTAATGTAACTAGTAGATAGAGACAAAAGTTGTTTGTCTCTTTGCAAGCTGATTCGACTGAATCAATTGTGACTACAATGCCATGCCGGGTGCATGAATAGAGCAGGCCTTTGATGTAGATTCAATGCAAAATGGAAGCGAAGATGAAGGTACGACAAATTACAGGCTTGTAACTATACTATGAAGCAATGGTTACTTAATATTGTACCAGAACGTTTAGTAGTAGATAGTAAAATTTTTCGACCTTCGGGACAGGCTAAGGCATCTCATTAGCCATAATACCAGATATACAGTAATTTTTCTTCAATAGTAGCAGTAGAGTGCTTTGTGATTTACCTATTTCTGTCGCCTATTGTGCGCATTACTGCGTTTCGGTTTTGAAGGCTAAAGTTAAGGGTGCTGGTGAAGTTACAGGACTTACAGTGAAGTTACAGAAATTTGACCTTGTTAACGTATGTCTTTTGGTGACAGGTGCAGTGGCAGTATCTTTCAGATTTTTGCGATTTAATCTCTGAGTGGCATTGCAACTGTTATGGACAGGCGTGGCGCTTACTACCAGACCCACGACTTGTTCATCCTGTGCGTTGTATCATTAAACAAAACGCTTAATTTTCTGATATTTTTTCGCGGGTGATCGTCATTTATTATCGTAAGTTAATATTACTGCAATACAAAAACACAGCAGAGAGTATGAAACATTCCTAAATATAGTTACTCTATGTTATTGGAGCTTAATAACAAAAAGATTAAAATATACTGCTGATTCAATTGAAATATTTGTAGTCAGCCCAATTAAGCTCTTTTACTCGAAATGAAACTGCATAGAGAGGCCTTAAAATAAAAGTTACAATCGGTGGAATGGTTAAACAAAATGGATGGTTCAATTTGATCAAATTCAGCGAAATTGCCAATAAACATTGCATCTCAATGCTGAACGTCATCAGAGAGTTTAATTGATGCATCGTCCAATCAAATTGTTATTCAGAAAAACATCCAGTGATATAGATTTTAAGGCGTTCTAGTTATTCACTAAATGATTATTGTTGACTATGGAGCGTGGATGCGTTCCTAAATATCGGGAAAATAAAAAGAACTCATATTGTGGTAAGAAACCTGTAATTAGTGATAAACATTCAATGATATTATTTCATTGCAGGTATATACTGCACATTGCTGCATACTGTACAAATTGTACACTATACTCATTGACTTACAAATAAATGGACGACGGGTCTAATACGAAAACCACGAAAAAAATGTCCCAAGTCAACCTATTCGAAATTTAAATTGTAATGTCATCGCAGTATCGCGCTGTCAGTAGAACAAATGAAGACTAAAGCGGAGTGTCGCGCTCTGTATACGATTTTAGCGCCTTACAAGTGCGGACACTTTTTAGCGCGGACCCGACGTCCATATAATTGTAAGTCAATGACTATACTGTACTATTTGCGTAAATGTCTTCCTAATTCTAAATAAATTACTTTATAGACCAGAGGTTTCCAAACTTTTTTGTCTGGTAGACCATATATCTCCTTAAAACAATAAATTTCCTTTCTAATATTTGATATTTTTACGAATTAATCATTTCAAATATGTGACATCTGACGCAGTGCTAGTGAGAAACTTATAAAAAAAGAATTGATGTTAAGTTTTATACATCTAACTGAATAGCTTGTTTGTTGTAAAAAAGTTAAGTATTTCATAGGTAATTATAGATGTATTATAAGACAGTATTATATATTTGCCATATTTGTTTCATTGAATATTACGATGTTTTTTTTCCAACTATGATTCAGATATTTTTATGAAAATACTCCACTAGTTTGTTTTTATTATTGATACAAAGAAAAGTTCCTTCGATCCGGCTGGACTCGAACCAGCGATCTCGCCATGCCGGGGCTATCTACTATATATTATATTATGTATTATAGATATTATGTATTTGCCAAATATTTCGGTCACACGACCTGCTGAAATGGGTACTACCCTCGTGGATGTACTTCTCACGCATTCCCGGTTTTTTTGGACATGGACTCCTTGTTGGTTTGAGTAAACCCCTGGAGTTCGGTGTAGACCACTTGGGAAATCATTGTACTAGACAAACGTATAAGTTTGTCGCCCACATCGTGATAAGATTGTGTCTACTTATCTCATTAAAAGATCCTGCTTGTGTGTGCAATCTACGAATTCTTATGTTATGACTTTTTGAATTCGAATAAAAACCACAATCGATATTCTCAATATATCCTGTAGTGGTCAGTATCGACCACTTTGGGAATCATCTTTATATTATAGACAATTTCAACTTTTCTTTAGACCGGCCATTCCCACATTCGGCGTTCTTAGCCTGATTACTAAAAATGTCTGAACTTTCTAATTACCGTATTTATTATTATAATTAGATATAATTACCGTTTCCATAAAATATTTGTGTCTTAATAACTCGAAAACTACTTTGTCTATTCTAATGCCATTTAGACATATCGATAGTTTAGCTTAAAGTTTTCGTATTTCAACGTTATTGGGTATAATAAGCGAGAAAAAGCATTGGCTACGGTAATTAGGCCAAGGATACCGAAATGGCTACGGTAATTAGGCTGAGAAATTCGGTGGAATGTGAGAATGGCCGGCACACATCGAGTGTATCATAAGTAAGTAAAGTAAAGTAAATCATAAATAAGTTGCGACTAAACTCTTTTATTAGGATATTGAATGTTGCAGAACCTAAATGCCGTATATGCCTGCTAATTTAGTAGGCATTTTCCATTGTGAGCAGGTGGGTATAAATGGAACGAACTTCACGGATCGCCGGACGCGTGCCGGCCACCGTGTTACATCCACTTCGCCGCCTCCCGTTCGCCCTGCCGATGCCGTGGTGTTACCCCGCTACTTCCCAGCCCCTGATGTAGTATTACATGAATAGAAGGGATAATTCATGCAAGTGCTGATACAAAAGAATATAAAAATGTGTTGATTACGTAGTATTCTTAGAAATTTGACGTAAAGAAATAATCAGCGTACTTATCATCAGGAATACTGAGATATTGCATTTTAAATCAATTTTGTTGTACAATAAGTGTTCAAATATGTTTACGGCGTGTAATTTTATGAATAGACAAAGATACTTGAGTAATTTTCATGTTAATTTTGTCTACCTAATTTCGGCGGCAATTTTATTATTTAATGAAGTAATATTTAAAAATCGAGTGTGGTACCCTCAAATATTATTCAAATATTTCACGATAATTTACTCGAACACTTAAATAAACGTTTTTAAAACACTTAAATAAACGGTTTTTCAACGATTAAAAAGTCGTTTGAAAAACCAAATACAAAGGCACGACGCAAGCACAGAAAAATTCGTGAGGTCCGCTGATTCGTTCCGTGGCTTAGTTGGTATAGCGTCTGGCACGGTAAGCTTGAAAACGTCTCGGTTCGAATCCGGCCGGATCGAAGGAATTTTTTCTGTGTTCGATCTTTGTATTAATAATTGTAACAAACTAGTGGATTAATTTCACAAAAAATAATTTAATATCAATTCAATAAAAAATTAAAATAACATTGTTTACTTTTTGTTTGATATTTTAGATAAAGAGGCGAAAAATTCCTTTCTTGCGGACCTACAATATATGTTCAGCATTCAGAAGTTACAAAAGTTACATGATAATTTTATTGACTGCGTTATTTTCTTATTTCCTCCAATTTTTATTATGATGATATTTT